CCTCTTCACCTTGTTCCGGTTAGTGTCATTAACCGCAAGCTTTAGTCTGGGCAACGCAAAACGCAGTTTGCAACGAATAAGGATTAATAAAGTTTCCCTTTGTCGTACCTTCAATGCCTATGGCTCAACAGAGGATAATTTGTTTACAAGTTTCTGTTTAGCTTTCAAACAATAATTCTCATTACATTAATAAAATGTTTTGGCTTATTATATTATCCCTAGACAAAGATTTCAGAATTCTGAAACTTGTTTGCGGTCAAAGAAACAACCAGAAGGAGATTCTCGATGTGGAAGCAAAGCTAACCTTACAGGACTAGATGCTCCTTCTTCCACAGACAAAACTCCAGTTTTGAAATTCATATCCGTCTTAACAAATCCGGGACAAACCGAGTTTACGCGAAACTCGGGATGTTTCTTCGCCAAGATCCTTGTGAAACCATTCAAACCAGCTTTCGAAATCACGTAAGCAGACATGACTTTAGCCCAATTTTCTGTCTTAACCGTACCTTCTTTAAACTCATTGAGAAGTTGGTTGATCACTTCGTCGATTCTTTCCTCCGTGAGATTCTCTGCGTCGCTCAGGATCCCTTTTGCCCATTCGTTTAGTAAATTCTTGCAAACATTTAACAAATGTAAGCTAAAATACTAAATAGAGTTTCCCTGCCAACATCTTGCAAGCATTCTTGATATCAATCTTTTTTCTTACCTTTAGTTGACCCATGAAGGATGATACATTAACGATTCTTGGAGAATCAGATAACTGCAAAAGAGGAATAAACGCCTCACACATTCTCCTTGGTCCATAATAGTTAATCTTGATGCATTCTTCAGCTAGCTCATACGTCTCTGTGATAGTTGTCTCCCACTTGAAACTTTCCTACCATGTCGAAAACAACAAGAAAGCATTAAACTTGACAAAGATTTATCGAAAATTCTATCAATCGATACTTACTTTCCCAGTCCCAGCTCTTAGAGCATCAACATCAGTGATTACACCACCAACCCCTGCATTATTCATCTGTCAAAACAATCAAAAGATCACTCAACATTACACAAAAGACTCTTGATTTTAAGACCTGTTTCATAGTAAACTGATCAAAGACCGTAACGAACCGTACCAAGATATCGAGTTTTCCGAATTGGGTTTTCACAAACTCAGCAAGAGAAATGATACTAGCAGGATCAGAGACATCAAGCTGATGAAAGACAATGCTTTGATCAGAAATATTAAGCTCTTTCTTCAATGTCTCAACAGCTTCAAGTCCTCTTTTTTCATCTCTAGATGTCAGAACAACCCTAATCCCTTTACTTGCTAATTGTCTGCATATCTCAAATCCAATTCCTCTATTCCCTCCAGTAACTATAGCATATCTACAAAACCCAGAACTAAAATCTGATAAAAATCAGAGCTAAATCAAGAACTAAGTGAAGATTGGGTCATACCTACCTTGGTGTTTCCTCAGCCATTTTTTCTGGGTTTCAGTTCAGACAAAAATGCTTCAAACGAAATGGGGAAGCCAGTGAAGCCACGTAGCTCAGAAATTGATGTTCTTGGAATGGTAAAGAGTGACTGGCCCAAAAACAAAATTCGCAACCGTTGAGATTATTAACATACCAAATTAACCAATTTAAAGAAGGAACCGAACCGAGAGACGAGCTTCTCGTTCGGCCAATAATCTTTCACCCTTAAAATAGTTTTTTTTTTGTTTTACATCTGGAGAAGATCCGATTGATAACAAATTCCTACTATATGGGATAACGCAATTTAATAGAGTTGAACTCGGTGAAAAAAGATAGAGTCAAGTGAACTTAACTACACTTCCTCTCACCATTAAGTATAGTTTTGGTTATGATTTTCGTGTTTTTATTAACATAAACGGTTAGACCTGAAATATATAGTGATAAAATCTTTAAATATGTAAAGCTTATGCAATATACTAGAATTTAACCCGCGGTACACCGCGGGCGAAATATATATTAAATAATATTATTATATTTTTTAAATGTTTTTGTAATGTTTTAAAGTTGTTTTTGTAATATATTTACAGTTGTTTAAAGTCGTGGGAAGGATATTCTTTGTTAGGGTTTGTAAAATTTTGTTAAGGAAGTATAAGATATTCGTGATAATAAAATATATGTGGAATAAAATCTAGTAGTTATTATAGCTTGTAGAGTATATACCATAATTAAGATAATGATAGGTCAATTAGTTAGTGTAGATTAGGAAGTTAACATAATCTTGGATTATTCTCTAATTTTGGTATATTCTCTAATTCTCTAATAAAGTCTCTAATAAATAACGTATATCTTTATTTAATTGTAAAAGAGATTCCGAATCAATACAAATATTATAGGGTTGTGATCTTCCTTATTTTCGTAATATAGAGGATATTTTGCATTAATCAAGCTTAGTCATGATCGATAAAAAAAACACTTGGACGTGGGTTAAAACAATTTGGGCTATAAAAGTCGTGGCCCAGCCCATTATAAAGGGTGGAAGCGTGGAATGAAACAACTATCCAGTGCAATATATGGGTTTTATTTAACCCGATCCAAGTTTATTTTTGTGAAGGAATTTTTAAAATGGGTCGGATATCCGATATACCCGAAAGCTTTTTTACCCACCCGTTACAAAAAGTGCTGCGATTATACTAGTATAGATACTGTTTGTGGTATAATCAAATGGTGCAAAACAAACCGATTAAATAGTGTGATGCGGTTTGTTTGAGAAAAACATAACAAGCAGCGCATAACAACGTATGAAAGATGAAAAATAATATATGTTGCAATACAAATGTTTGAATAGTAAAAAATATAATAAACGGTTCGATATATATATATATATTTAAAAAAAATATTTTATAGCTTTTAATAGATTAGTCTATATAATAATAACAATTTCAATAAATTATTTTTGCAGCTATGTACAATTGTGTTTTTATCGCAATTTTTTTTAAAGCTAAATAAATATTTTACGGTTTTGTTTTTCCAAAAGTTGCAATTCAAATAAATATCTTTTATAGTTGTGATTTTTTATCTAACATAAACTGCTGCAGCCATTTAGTTAAACTTGCAACGTTTAGTTATTGGAAAAATCATTATTTAGACACAACCTTAATAAAACCTTCCTCCTGATCACTGATCTCATCTTCTTCTCCTGAGTCCCCTTCATCAGGTGAACATACATAAGTTGGACTAATTCATAGAAGAGTACTTTACATTTTCAAGAGTCACATACGCATATTCATTGTATATTGAAAATGAAACACGTTGAGAGATATAATAATAGGTTGACATATGCATTTTCATTGCACGCGGCACACACCAAACCATTTTTTGACCTGGTTTCATTTATAAAAAAAAGAATACTGTAAAACGTGGGTTTCATTCATTTATCTCTATATATATGCACGAATTAGATTTTGAATTCATACATTCAAATCCACCCAAAATGTATAAATTCATCGTTTGCTTACTAACTTTGAGCTTTCTCTTGCTCTCTGGACTATCAAACACAGCATTGGCCCGAGTACATCATGAATATTCAAATCCAAGTAAATTTTCTTTTATTCCGAGCAATTTTGTATAATTTTGGTCCGATTTTTGTTTGATTGTAGTTCAAATTTCCGGCCTTAGAAAATAGAGATATTGAATGAAAATCGAATATTATTCTTTGGACTTTTTGGTTATAATTCCATGTTTGCAAAATAAATCTTCAAATCAAAGACTATCCATAGAAAATGATATGTGTAAGTCGTCAAATTTACTTACTCATCGCAGTTTGAATTTAGGATTTGCTCGTAGTATATGAAAATTGTCACTGAATCATTGTAATTTCTCATTTTCTCTTCATTTTGGCTTTTGTAATAATTATTCCGATACAGTTCTTGTTCTATTTAAATACGTAAACAATATACTAGCTTAAAATATTCAAAATTGATTTGTTAATTGTTTTTTTTTTTTTTCCTGTTTTCGAAAAGAAGAAATAGGAAACGCGGTTCGGGATCACAAGATCTTTAACTATATGAAGGCTCGTGTACGTCCTAGTGCTTCAATGCGTGGACCTGGACAAACCAATTAGAACTGGCCAAAATATATATGTTTGTAAAAATTAATTTGAAATATTTTATATGATATTTTTTATTAAAATTTATTTTAAGATCGATGAAAGTCATGTTTTGTAACACTCACAGCAATTGATTTTGCTATTTTGCTGACGGAAAGTACACATGCATGGAGATGCTTTGTTTTTTAAAAGATGTTTCAATTATTGCATTTCTTTTTTTTTCATCAAATATTGGTCATTGATCATGATCTTTCAAATTCAACGCTTCAAAAGAGATTTATAATACAATCCGAATTTCACGTTCGGAAATATATATTTCTCTAGTGTATGTGTATTTTTTTTTAATCTCGAAGATTCAAGATGTTTGAAACCATGTAAATTGTGTGATGGTCACAAAACATAAATTAGACCCTGAAATTAGAGAAGTGAGAATATTGAATTATACACAGTTATTTTCTTTGGATATATAATTGTATCTCGGCTCCATTTGGAAATCTAAAATTTGTTGGTTCGGTTTTGAAGTTTGGGATCTATTCGATTGTTTTTGTCGGTTTCGGTTTAATTTGGTTTCTCTTCTTTTTTTTTGTTCGGTTTAGGTTCGGTAAAACAATTCTCTAATTAATAATTTTAAAAGTTTATTTGATTATTTATTTTTTTAGAAAAAAAATTCAACCAGATCCATTTAGATCCGTAGAAATTCAACTTTTACCATTTGAACTTTAAATTATCTGGCCAGATTTCGCATCACAAACAAATCATTTAGATCCGTAAAATAGAAATTTATGGTTTAAGGATTCATTGAAACGCAGCGTATAGCTCCAAGCATTGGACATGCTATCGATGTTGAAGTGGTTACCGAAAAAAAGTAGTGAAAAGGACCAATGTTGAAGACTTCATAAGTAAAAATTTCAGCTAGTATTTGCACACGCCTAAAGCAAAGAACCACTTTTTATTCAACTTTTGACGACTTTACTTTTCATAACAAGTTAAGAACATCTGAAAACACAGTAACTTTTGAGACCTTATTAAAAACCAGCAATCACTTCAACACCTGAAAAACTCTACGGTCTCTCTCTTTCTCTGTCTCTCTAGGTTTCATTCACGAAGATGAATTCTTCTGTACCCATTCAACAAGCGTAGCAACACCAAACCCGGTCCCAGACTTCTTCTTCTCGTTCCACGCTGGTCCAGCCATGTCGATATGCATCCATTGCACCTTCTCACTCACAAACTGACATACCGCGAAATTTGTTATTTTCACAAATTTGTTTTGTCAGAAATATCAAGGATGTATGTATAGTCTTTAATAAAGACTTTGTTTTCACCTGTTTCAAGAAGAGAGCTGCGGTGATGGAACCTCCTGCACGCCCGCCTGTGTTGACCATATCAGCCACTCCAGACTTCATCATCTCCCAATAGCTCTCTTCCAGTGGCATCCTCCACAGCTTCTCTCCACTCCTTTCTGATGCAGCAATCACTTCCTGTGCAAGGTCGTCGCTCGGTGTATAGATCCCTGCCAAGTGAAGAACATAGAACAATCATCATGAGCCAATTTTGAACTCAAAAGCGAGACTAAGATGATTGTTTTCTGCAGGATTATTAAGCTATGTACCTGCCATTGAAGACCCAAGAGCAATAACACAGGCCCCAGTCAAAGTAGCAAGGTCAACAATCTGCAAGATATAATTGAAAGGATAAATTTAACAGAAACAAGCTTCTTTTAGCTTCTCATATCAATAAAGCAATGCAATACCTTGTCGACGCCCTGGTTACAAGCATACACTAGCGCATCTGCAAGTGTTAAACGACCTTCAGCATCTGTGTTGTTAACCTACACACACCATTGCCAACAATTAGCATGTCATAGGAAAAAACAGAAAAAGCTCAAATCTGAGGGAAAAAAATCATCAGATACCTCAATGGTCTTTCCGTTCGAGGCTGTGATGACATCTCCAGGTCTCATTCCGGTTCCACTGATCATATTCTCACAGGCGGCAACGATGAAATGAACCTGGTTGTGGACAGACCCATTGTTTAGTTACGTTAACAAACTCTAAGCTTCAAAAGAATCTGAATGGAGAAACTAACCTCAACACCAGGAGGCTTAATCTCACCAATAGCTTTCGCAGCGCCAAGAACAGCAGCTGAGCCGCCCATGTCCATTTTCATGAGCTCAATTAAGCAGCCTGGTCCAGTCTTAATGTTGTAGCCACCACTGTGGACACAAGACATTTAAACAACAACTACTAATATATCAAGAAAAGAGTCCAATTCACTACAGTCTTAATGCTCTAGTGATTGATTACCTGTCAAAGGTCAATCCTTTTCCTACAAGAGCAAGTTTGGTTTTAACAGAGCCACTGGAAGGTTTATAGACAAGGTGGATGAAATGAGGGGGATTAGCCGAAGCAGCAGCAACAGCTAGATAAGAACCCATCTTCAACTCTTTGCATTGCTCTTCGTTCAAGATGTTTGCAGTGAAGACATCACTGTACGTAGAAGCCACTTTTGCTGCTTCCTCAGCTAGTACAGCTGAAACGATACAAAAAAACCGTAGCCAGATTAGACAACTCAGAAAATTCACAATACACAAACATGACAATGTTTAATCCCATAAATGACAATTCATACCAGGAGTAAGCACATTGGCAGGAGAATTAGTGAGTTCTCTCCCGAAAATCACACCGTAAGAAACATCTTCAGCATACTTCAACTTCTTTTCTAGCTCAGGACCAGTTCCAAATCCAATGATATCAACAGATTTCAAAGATGGTTTCTTTGATTCAGACTTATACCTACCATCTTCAAACAAACCAAGCACTATGCCTATCCACAAGCAAAACAATTAAACCCCAAACTCAGTTCCAAAACTGTAATAAACAAGACTCAAACTTTAAGTTATACAAATTGAAGTTACCTGAAGCTAAAGCTGATGCAGAACTAAGCTTAGATTCATCAGAAACACTTGAAGCAAGCACAATAGCAGCACTACTAGATTGAGAAGCTTTTGAAACTGTAGCTAAAGCTTCACCAAGGGTATGAAAAGCCACCGGAGACGAAACAGATTGTCCGAGACCGATCAAACCGATTCGCTTTGATCCGAGACCCGGAAGCCTAAGAACAGTTGATTGACCAGGTTTTCCAGTGAAATCCTCCTCGGAAGAGACTTGAGCTAAGAGTCCACTCAAGTGAGTATCGAGCTTGTTCAAGATCGGATTCTCAAACTTTGAGTTACCGTCTTTGCCTAAGTCTTTCTCTGTCACACCAACTACGAGTATGTCTCCTTTCCATGCCGTAACATCGATCTCCTTCGCAGAGAACGAGATCTGCAGAATCGTCACCGAAAGTTCAAAACTTTAAACTCGAATCAATCGAAAAATCAAAACTTTGAACAAAGCAAATCTATGGATCATTGAATCGGAACTAGATCAAAACTGGATTCGATAATGAATCATTTCAAAATCAGAGTAAAGGAAACAAACCTTGTGAGGCTCAATGGAGTTGGGTTGAGTGAGGCCGAGAGTGTGAGCCATGGTTATGGCTATCGAAGAGAGGTGTTGTGTGATTGAACTCTAAAGAGGAAGACGAAGGAGTAAACAATGGAAGTGATGGTCTTTTAAAGGCGTATATATTGAAGGAGAAGTTAGGTGTGATTTACACACATGTGCGATGCGTTACTTTTTTTTTTTTTTTTTTTTTTTGTCGGCAATTCAACATTTCATTCATAATATTAAGGTACAATGTTCCAGGAAACTACATAACTTTGATTCTTAGTTCTTGCACACTTAGCTAATGCATCTGCTACATCATTTGCCTCTCTTGATATCTTACTAAATTTGTAATTCTCCTGCCGTCCAGCCAGAGACATAATGTCTTTAATATAAGTAGAGAATGCAGAATGATGCTGACTATCTCGAAGATACAGAGAGTTTTGCTTCGCCAAAAGTTGATAAAGCTCCGCAGAATCTCCAGAAAAAGTGACATGAGAGTAGCCTAAACATTGAATTTGCATGATCGCCATTCGTAACGCCTCAGCTTCTGTCTCTAGTGGCGAAATCACTGGAGGGATAGCTGCAGATCCTTTTACAACAAGTCTTGCAGTCTGGTCATAAAGGGCCCAACCAATACCTGCTGGCTGCGATGAAGAGACCCATGAACCATCTACAAAACAAGTGTAGTGTGAAGATTGATGAACAGCTTCTTCAAATGTTTGTAGAATAAAACTAGAGAAGTTCTGCTCATTGTTGTGATTTCTTAGTAAATCTATATTGGTTTCTTTACTCCAAACGGATAAGTCAACCAAAGATTTACTTATGAGACCTGGAATAGAGCATCTTTTATTTTCGAAGATGAGAGCATTTCTCTGCTTCCATAATCTCCACCCCATTATACAAAAGAGTTGCAAAGCATTTGCTTGTTTACTATTGAGTTTCATCATCATATCTATGTTTTCAGGAACAGAATGGGTGTTTAGAAAGTCACCTTGAGGAGATGATATAGGCGCCAGATCCCAAACTTCTTTACTGACCTTGCATTGAAATAACAGGTGATTAACCGTTTCAGGGCAGTCACCACATATTTGACAAGTACTGTCAACTCTCAGCTTCCTCTGTTTGAGATTATCTGCAACAGGAAGAGCGTTATGCAGACATCTCCACCAAAAATGCTTGATTTTGGGTTCCACATTAATTTTCCAAATCTGGGAAAAGAGTTTCTGAGAGCTATCGTTAGTCACATTTCTATTGGCAGCTTGTTTACGCAGTAGATAGTATCCAGATTTAACAGTATAATTACCATCCTTAGTGTAAATCCAAGAGGTACTATCAGCGGCTCCTGTAAAGGATGGCCTAATTGTTTTAATCAGAGACCTATCCTCAGCACAAATATATTGATCTATAATCTGCTCATTCCATCTAGAACTACCCGGGATCAAAAGGTCCTGCACAACTTCTGGTTTTTGCATGATATTAACATTCAACTTAGCAGGTCTAGGCGGGTTAGATGGGAGCCAATTATCATTCCAGATATTAATGTGTTGCCCATTTCCAACAACCCATTTGATCCCGTTAGAAAGAAGTTTGTTACCTTCCAATATACTTCTCCAAGCATGACTAGATCTCCTCTTACTACCAGCTGCCAATAGACTGGATTTTGGATAGTACTTATCCTTGTATAGCTGGGCTAAGAGAGATTGTGGATTCTGCAAGATCCTCCAGCTTTGTTTGGCCAGCATTGCTATGTTGAAATGTTGCAGGTCACGGATGCCCAAACCTCCCATTTGTTTTGGATTGTTGATTTTCTTCCACGCAATCCATGATATTTTACGTTGATCTTTAGATGCAGACCACCAGAACCGACGTATTGTCGATGTTATCTGCTTAATGAGCTTCATGGGGAGGAGGAAGCATGACATACAATAAGCTGGAAGGGAAGTAGCAACAGCCTTGATAAGAACTTCTTTACCTGCAGGAGAAAGAAGTTGAGAGTACCAACTTTCCATTTTTTGAGCCATTCTTTGTTGTATATAAGAAAAAGCATTGTATTTGCTTCTCCCAACAAATTCTGGTAAACCAAGATATCTCCCAAAGCCTCCAATTTTAGTTATCCCCAAAATATGACTAAGATGTTCTTTCTGTTGCGGAGTTAATCCTTTTCCAAAAGTAATCGCAGATTTTTGTAAATTAACTTGCTGACCTGAGATTACTGCGTATTGATGAAGAATTTGAAGCAACGTATTGCACTCTTCATCCGTAGCTTTGCAGAAGAGTAGTGAGTCATCTGCAAACAATAAATGCGATATTGGAGGACCTTTTCTGCTGGCTCTAAAACCATGTAATTGGCCTTTCAAGTTGACTTCTCGAATTAATGCAGATAAGCCTTCTGAGCATATAAGATAAAGATAAGGAGATATTGGATCACCTTGACGGATACCTCTTTGGGGAGTGATGTTGCCCACTGGATTACCGTTAACAAGGACTGAATATGAAACAGTTGTTATGCACTTCATAATCCATGAACACCACTTATCTGCAAATCCCAGCCTCTTCATCACTGCTTCAATGAAAACCCATTCAACTTTATCAAAAGCTTTACTAATATCCAGTTTGAGAGCCATAAAGGGATATTTAAGATTTCGAATATGAAGCGAGTGAAGCAATTCATGAGCAATGAGGACATTATCGGTAATTAATCGGCCCGGGATAAACGCAGTTTGATTTTCTGAGATTATGAGATGAAGCCAAAGCTTGAGCCTATCAGCCAAAACTTTGGAAATAAGCTTATAAGCTACATTACATAGACTTATAGGCCTAAAGTCTTTCACTTCTTTTGGATGCTCAACTTTAGGGATCAGACATATATGAGTATGATTAATTGCAGGGTCTAGATCTCCTTGATTAAAGAAAGACTGAGCAAAGCTAAGCACACCTTTTTTAATAGTTGACCAGTGATCTTTGTAGAAACCTGCTCCCAGCCCATCGGGTCCTGGAGATTTGTCTCTACTCATTTGTTGAAGAGCTTTATATAGTTCTTCTTCGGTGATGGGCTTGGTTAGACTTTCATTCATTTCGGTGGTCACTCTAGGCTGAAGGCAGTCCAGAATAGCACTCATATTCTGAGGCCCTTGTGAAGTATAGAGATTGGTGAAATATTCCTCAATGATACCATGTAGATCTTCATCCTTATACCTCAGTTCTCCTGTGTTATCCATAAGAGAAATAATGCGATTAAAGTTTCTTCTCTGTTTTGTTTTCGCATGAAAATAGCGAGTATTTCTATCACCTGCTTGAAGCCATTGGATCTTACTCTTAGTGCGCCAGTATTCTTCTTCATTTCTGTATTCTTTAGCAAGGTCAGCTTTAAGATCATGAATAAGAGCATAGTTGATTGGGTCCGCTTCATATGCTTGATGCAACAACCTCTTAAGCTCTTGGATTTTTTTCTGGGAATTGTTGATGTGTGTAGACTTCCATCTTGAGAGGCTGTTTCTAAACTTCTTAATTGCTTCATTAAAATTGGCCGCAGGAATGTCTTGACACTGTGTAAGCCAAACTCTCTGAATTTCATTTTTAACTTCTGATTCAAAGCGCCATCGATTATCATACCTGAAGAGTTTGTGACCTCGCCATTTTTTATCGCTGGTATCCAGGAGAATAGGACGATGATCTGATCCTCCCCATGGTAATAATTGGACATGAGCTTTAGGGAACAGATCTTGCCATTCAGCAGTAGCCACAACCTTATCAATCCTTGTTTTTACTCTGTGATTACACCTCTGTCCAATCCAAGTGTACTTGCCTCCAAACGTTTTGACTTCATGTAATCCTGAGGAATTGAGCATCTGTCTAAAAATTCTAAAACTTGACTCTGCTCTGCGTGGTCCTCCAGATTTCTCCTCATTACTCTTTATATCATTGAAATCTCCGAGAACAAGTCTAGGCTTACTTTGATATAAACCCAATGCTGCTAGGCGAGTCATATATTTCCACAGCTCATTTCTCTGTTTTTTCTCCGGATGTCCATAGAGATAAGTGAGACAAAAGGTGTGCGGAGTACCGTCTTCCGATATATACATATCAGTGTAATAGAGCGTTGGCGTCTCCAAAAAGTCTATTTGAACGCGATCATTCCAAAAAACCGCCATTCCACCACTGAGCCCATCCGGATTTACAACAAAACTATGGGCGTAGCCAAGATCCTTGCATAAGTTATTCACATAACTATAGCCGTTCTTAGTTTCAACGAGGAACATGACATCATGTTTAGAAGACTTCCTGATGTCTTTCAAATATGGAATTGTCAGAGGGTTCCTCTTTAGCCCCTGACAATTCCAATGTAGTATCTTCATCGAGGCGATGGTGGTTTAGGGGTTGCCACCTCCCCTTTGTTGTGAAAATTACCTTTGGTTCTCGGTTTACTAGTTAAAGCTTGATCCTCCTCCAACAAGCTGTCTCCTTTCCTTTTCTGACCTCTATCCAAACAATGACTAGGCTCCTCAACTACCTCCTTGGACATGGGATCAGTTTGACCTACAGCTTCAATTGGGTTATCAGGTTGAGCAATACGGTTCTCACTCACTTCAGTGACAGAATTCTTATTCTGAGAATCCATCTGCACAGCTAATCTTTTTCGGCTCTGAGAGACCTTAGATGTTCCTTCCATTTCTTTGACAGCTATAGGTTGAAACTCTGGAGTAATTGACAAACTGTTGGTTCCTCTCAACAGAGGAGGATTCATGGTGCCAATTACATGGTTTGATGATTCTGATTGGTCATTCATGGCTTCATCTTCCTCTTGGTTTACCCCTTGCATCGGCTCAGCACCATGTCGAAGTGCATCATTCTGCAATTGGAGAACTGGAGATCCAGTATCGCAAATTGATTCATCATGTAAAAGAGACCCACAAGTAAAGCAGAACTTTCTTAACTTAGAGAAGATAAATCGAATTTGAACCGGAGGTACTGCAGGCTCAAACTCAATAGATCTGACAAAAATTAGACGCTTAGTGATGTCCATGGTAACATGAGCCCAGACTTCTCCTTCAGACTCGGCAGTGGCTTCAATAATTTTGGTTTCATCAATGTGCCCAAGAACCCCTGCTGCTTCTCTTATGACTGGATCTGTTCGAAAGTCTTCTGGAATATGCAGAATTTTAACCCAAAAGGAGATTTGGGAGAGGAAAGTTGGAAGATTTCGATTGGTCCATCTATCAATTGCAACCATCCAGAGATTGTGATGCCAAGGACCATTTTCTAGAACCCACATAAGATGATGCTCTGCCTTAAAGAAGAATTGAACTGAACCATCGTCATTTATCCTGCTCGTGATTCGTCCATCTAATCGCCAAGCTTTGGGCAAAGCTCCCTTGATCCCGATTGGTTTCTGATGGTGAGGATTTAAACTTCTGACAATTAGGCTTAAGCGATTATCCGCATCTCGGGAACGCCTCGCTTCAACTGACATCTTTAGTGGAGTTCTTTCTGAGCCCAGATTTAGATTTTGAAACGATTCCCATAAATCCTTCCCCATTTTTGCCCAAAATAACACAGAGGATCGACAACAACTGTCAAGAGCAACCCGGTAAGACCACCGGAAAGTTGAATCCGCACGAAGACGGCAAGGAAAACACCAGAAAAGTGAGTCGGTCTTGGTTGGATTTTTTTTTTTTTTTTAAATCATTTCTCTAAAGGATATTGTAACGCTTCGACCGCTCCGACTAGTGAGCATTCACGTCATTTCTCGAGCCCGTGGAGCCTACCTCTATTTAACAGTCAGTCTATTACGTTGAAAAGGCTTTAAAGACTTGTTTTCCGGTCCAATAAATCACCACATGATCTTGCGTTGATGATGGGATGAGAAGTTTATTGCGTTGCCTCATCTATTGAACAAACTCCCAAACAGTATTTTTTCCAAGAATTCCGTGCTAGATGAGAAGTTTATTGCATTGATGATGCTATCGAGCTCGTTGCTTAAGAGTATGAGTTTGGGCGCTGTCTCGTTGATCGTTGGTTGTTTTTATGTAAGAGTGTTTGTGTTGCCTAAACCGTGGGTGGACATTGGCGCTAGAAGGTTTTTGTTTCCGCATTTTTTATGTTCGTACGCCGTGCGATAGTACTCTTTCATCTAGGGTGTAAGATATGGTTTCTCTAGCTTATGCATTAACGGATTTCGACGGATGTGTTATTCGATAAGTGTAAATCTTAGGAAATGTCTCTCTCATCTAGCACGGAATTCTTGGAAAAAAATACTGTTTGGGAGTTTGTTCATTGGAGGATAAAAATTTTATGCAAGTGAAAAAACAAAAATTTATTCATCACTAACAAACCATGACCCAAAAACTTTGTGGTATCAACATTTAATGTTGATAACAACATATCTTGGAAGTTCATGCCAATAATGTTGAAGTTTTGGAGTCCCATTCCAAGCTTCTCTTACGACTGCCTTGGTTTTTAGAGTTGATTCTTTGTTAGCTTTACATTGATGGCTTTGAATTAATTTGTCTTTCGGTTGTAAGTTACTAAGTTTCCCTCGTTTGGGCGTTTGTCTCCCTTATCTTTGAGGCGTTTGCGTTTCCTTGTTAGGCTGCTGGTTAAAAGTCTCTGTATAAGTCCACCGTATTCTATCAATGAATCATTTGGACGAAAGAAGAAAAAAGAAATGTTGAAGTTTGGACGGATCTAATTAGTCTTCCTGACTTCTGCCCGTGAGGCTCTTCAACTAGGTTCATGTGCTTCGATCGATCCTATTGGTTTAAGTAGGATCCAACCATATACTCCTTCAAAAGGTCAAATATTCTGTACTTTAGTCGGGTCCCTTATCAGCTAATTTATTATGCTTAGGAAAGAAGTTTGAGATTGTTCCTAATCTTTGTGCCGGCTTTGATGGCTGATCAAGTACCCACATATCCATCTACACCGATGTTTGAAAGCTAAACCCAATTTTCTAAGCTACTCCTATATCAAAGAGACCTCACTCCATCTGGTTATTACTTTTACTCATATATATGTTGTAAACTTTCTCTTTTTTGTCTATACATATTTTATAAGTTGCGCACTACTAAATTCAAGTATTCGCCTATCTTACAATAGACCGTCTGGAACCTTGACAAGTACACGGCGTACTAGTCAAACATGGAGCCTAATCAATTCAACTATTTTTTCTATTTTGTTTTGTCAACAACGGTCTAATTGAAACATCGATTTTTTTTTTTCGGCTGACTTATATATATGTTTTGTTAAAGAGGATAATATTAAAATGAGATAGATCGTCAGATGGCTACCATGGCTTATGGACAATCTTCTTTTGCTTCTATATTTATAAAACACTAAAATTGAAGGATACCTATAAGCTATTTAAAAATCTTTGAATAGTCTTTGTCGACTTAATAATCTACACAATTTATCTACCGTCAATTTTTTGCAGCCTTCCTTACATATCTCACATAAAATAGAAATAAGTATTAAAGTATGCGATGCAGTCTCAAATATGTATTTGTGTGTAAGAAATTCAAAGAAGAAAAAAGTTTTGTTGCTCAATGCTAAATTCCTAAGAGTGTTTTTTTTTTTTTTTTTTGGTTTTAATGTGAAGAATTCCTAAGAGTGTTAATGAGAACTATATATGCTTTGAGGGATAATCTTCACATGCAATGACAATTAAGTTTTGCTTCATTTGCTTGGCGTCAGCCTTTTTGGACAAATCGTTTACATACTTAAGTCTAGAAAACTAGGATGATAAATTTAATGCCTCAGAAAACATAACTTGGTTATGTCAGTGGTTAAGCTCTGATTATTTTGTTTTTATTCATCGTCATCCACTAAGGTATTGCCAACTATAACTGTGATAGCTTGGAGTCAAGTAGAGAGTGAGAGTGAGAAAGAACTTGTGTAAGCTTTAACATTTTTCTTTGTGGAAAACAGAGAGTCCATACGGGTTAGTATTCTAAACCCAACAGTTTGGCTCGTTAAAAATCTTGGAAAATTATTGAAGTAACTCATCTTCAACAAGTAAAAACAAAGAATGACCAACTAGTCTTAGCAATGTACAGATATAGGCACGCAAATACCCAGATTCTTGTGAAATTATTAAATCAAAGAACTTTTATTAATCAAAGTAGTTTATCTTCTATAAGTAAAAACAAAGAATGACTGATAAGTCTAGAATTGTACAGAAGGAGCACACGAATGAAAATAATGTCTAAGACAAAATCTCCCAAAAATTTTTTTTTAAAAAACAAAAACTAGACCACATCAATGGAAACAGTTTGATCAGCTTCTAGGTCTTTAGTTTTCTTGCAGAACATGCCACCCCATCTCTTCTTAAACTGTAATATCTCCATCCCAATGGCAAACGCTGCGATTGCACAAATGATGGTAGTGTAAGCGATCTTCCAGCAGCTTCCTGGGTGCAAGATAGCAAGGCCTTTGTAGATATTGTAGACGCTTAGTATAATCACTATGTATCCCATAGTGTGATGATACCAGTTCCAATATTTTCTGTACTTATGATCTTTGTCCGGTCTTGCTTTGAGCGCAAGTATCTGCAAAAATCTTAAAGCAAATAGAAACAACCATATCACAGTATGCGGCGTAGTCCTCATCCCAGTATGTCTTGCCATATAGATTGCGGTTCCTAATCCTCCGATTAAACCAACAAAATAACCAGTGGTTTGACAAACAACGCGTACATAGAACCATGTGGGATCTAATATCCCGTAGGTCTTCATGTATCTTGCAGCCATAACCCCAATAGGCATGAGAATTCCCCAACTCACTGCATTCATCATTCCATGGATTTGCTTTACCAACAACATGTTTTCATTAACTGATTTTGTAGCTGTGATTTTTCCGGAAAGCAATTTTAAAATGAAATTTTCAGAAAACTTTTGTAGCATTCCAACATATTTAAGGTATTTTTTGTAGCAATTTTAAAATAAAATTTTCCGAAAAATCTACTCAACTACTTTTTTTCAACTATCAATAACACTATTTGGAATGCTATTTGTATTTTCTTTCTAAAAAAATCTGATTAAAACTATTTAAAAGAAACTCAGATTTTCTAAAATATTAAAATTAATTTTCTATGAGATAACCATATATGTTTTTAAAATAAATAAAAATAATTATCTCTTCAAACCAAATATTAAAAATAATTTTCTATGAGATAATCATATATAATTTTATGTTTTTTTTTTTGCATCAACTATAACTAAAAAAATATAAAATAAGTGATGTAAATTACACATTTTTTGGTCCAAACACGTGTACATTTTTTGGATATTCAAAAATATCCTAAAATATCCAAAAATAACCGAAATATCTAAACCAAAATACCCGAATGGATACTAAATTTTAAAACCGAAAGAATCGGAACCGAACCAAAATCGAACCGAAATTTCAAAATACCCGAATAAATACTAAACTCTAGAACCGAAAGAAACAAAACCGAATAGAACAGAACCGATAACCGATTGGATAACCGAACGCCCATGGCTAGTTATAACCGGTCAACTTTAACGACTCTGATATACAATAATTAAGTAATTAGTTAATAATACACACTAAGAATGGTGGGAGTTATATTGACATGGACCCATGGTTCCATTTTCATAATGCGTTTTTTGAAAGACTATTGCTACATCTTTCGGGAGATCTCAACTCTTTTTCAATGTTGGAAACCGCAAATTAATTACCAAATAGGCAAATAAATACTCGAAGGAGTTTCACTAAAGATAATTAAAGCCAATTCTTCATTTCTTTCATCACTCAGTTACAAACTTGAAAAAGAATCACACATCGGATGTTAAATTTGGGCTAATTCTGGGCTTCCAACTAAAAACCAATTGGCAATTAGTGGATTGGCCCTAACCCTTTATATATTATTGATTGTCCCTTCAAACTTCCGATGTGGGACTTGGATTGTATCTCCAACAATCTCCCCTTCAATCCAAGGACCACATGGATCTTAACACACCTCCTCGATCCCTCACTCGGACCGATAATAAGCCCCTTTCTCGGGCCCCCATTACTCGGGTTTGAGGTATGTCCGTATCCACTTTTCTAGGTCCACCAGAATTTGAACCTTGGGCTCTGATACCATGTTAAATTTGGGCTAATTCTGGGCTTCCAACTAAAAACCAATTGGCAATTAGTGGATTGGCCCTAACCCTTTATATATTATTGATTGTCCCATCAAACTTCCGATGTGGGACTTGGATTGTATCTCCAACATCGGAATAGTTTAAATTTTCTTTTGATTTGCCATAAGAATATATATTATGATGATCAAGAATGTACTTTTTGTTCTAGTAACCATTTGTGTTGCAGTTTCTGTGAACGCTCAACTACCACAATTTCCAATTACGTTCCCGTTTCCATTTCAGCACTCGAGTGGTATACTATTACTAGGACTACCCGACATAAATAAATGTTTCTCGTCCGTGATGAATGTTCCTGGATGCTTTTTAGAGATCTCCAAATCTATGTTTGTTGAGAGATTCGGTAACATTGGGCCTGCTTGTTGTAAAGCTTTTTTGGAAAGCGCAAAATGCATGCCAAATCTACCATTCAATCTATTTTTCTCTCCCAAGTTCAAAGAAGAGTGTTCCCGAGTTGCTGGCCAAGTTCCTCCTACCAATACATAAATTGTTTTAGAATATGATTGATTTTACTAATTTCCATTTTATTTAAGTTGTTCTTCAAATTCAAGTTACCAAAATGTACTAACATTTGCAATCATATATTAATTGTGTCACCTTTCTTATAGTTTTTGTACTATAAATTTTCATGAGTACTTCCTAAGCCATTCGTTTCAATGATCATTGATTAAATGATGAATGAGTCAGAGTCTCAAAAACATAGGAATCGATTATTTTATTTTCATTGTATTTAGGTTTGTTTTTAGTGTTTTTTCATGATGAACAAACCTTAAAAATCTTAAGCCTTATTCTTTTGTTAGTTGTAAAGATAGAAACTTTTTTTTTATCTTCAATTATAGCATCACACCCTTAAATCTTATTCAATTACAAATGTTGATCTAATCTTTTCTACTTCTTTGCAGCACTTGAACATCGAAGGAAGATTTTATGCAAATGACTCACAACATACAGTTCGATGTAAAAACTATTGTTTGCATGTTCACTCTCCAAAAAAAAAAAAAAAAAAAATTCTATAAATAAATGTGAAAATTTTATTTTTCATATTAAAATACATTTTGAAAAGAATCAAGGTACAGTCATAAGACTCACAACTATTAGCATAGGAATGCCAAGATCCGCTAACACAAGTAGAACTTCCACCTCTGTAAGATCCTTGAGTGTGGGAGTTCAACTCGTACATCTCCGCAAAGGATTGAGTGAAAAGGTCATTTTAGAAAAGAAAAATAAAACCTATCAGCATATGAATAGTGTGAAAGTTAGCATTGTCCTCTGACAGTTAGTATGTATATCTCTCCCTTTATCTTCAAATCAAGTGCATTGACACAAATCCATTGATTAACTTAAACCACTTTTTTTTTTCTTGCTCTCCTCTTCACTCGTCTCATGTCCTAGGAATGAGTTGATTGGGTGTTCTAGCATCATATTTCAATTTGTAACAATCTATCTTATTTAATTGCCTCATGCACCCATACATTTACCATAGCTTATCTTATTCGCTAATCTCGTTCCATTATTTGTCTTACTTTGGTTGGTCTTATTGTTTAGTAGTTTCCAATCAACCTTTCGAATTGAATGTCTATCTATTTACTTGTTTATGCCATCTATCAATTTAGTTTAATTAGTATACCATACTCTTAATTAGTGTGTTATATAGTCCAGTTCTTTGTGGATTCGATCAGAAAATTGTGTTTCAAGCTAAGTGACTTACCTATGCACTTACACTTTTACAATTCATATTTAAAACTCCATCTTCCTCAAATCACCCAATTTAGCTAGTATTAATGTCTACAAAATTAAAGTCATACATACATTATAACTTCAAAAAACATTTTTTTATTTATTTGAAATATCAAGCACATGTTTATTTCGTTGCTTTTCAAATAATATCTAGATGATAAAGGTTATATATCAACTATGACTTCTATTTTTCTATTTTATGGTCACGCATGACCAGTGCCGTGCCAAGGCTTTTTGGGGCTTGGAACGAAAAATAAAATGTGGTCTATCTAATTTAGTTGAATAATTATTTTTAAAGAGCCTAACATATAACCTGAAGAGAAAAAGTGAGCTACAATACAAAGTCAAGGTTCTAACTCTATATAGTGAATTGAATTATGCTAACATGGATCAAACTTCAAGCAAAATACATGTATAAGACAACTTAAATTTGATGAACCAACAAAATGTTAATGTGGCCTAAAAATCAAGTCTATAAAATGTGGCTGTGGGCAAATGCCCTTTATGTTAAGGGGTAAGCACGGCACTGCGCATGACAGCACCGGCCGGTCAGATCACTGTGTGGTCTGGATACTGGGTTATCAAAAAAAAAAAAAAAAAAAAAAAAAAAAAAAAAAAAAAAAAAAAAAAAAAAGCACCGGCCGGTCATTTGCTTCGTATTTTCGACTTAAAATATGACATCGTACACGTACCATGTTAGAAATGTGTGGATAGTATCCTTTTCTTGCGACCCCCTTATTTGATTTTTTATATCTAACGAAAAAGCCATGTGACCAACCATAATAATACTGTACAATGCAAAACTAAAACGTGATTCCCGGCAAAAACTATGACAACATAAAAAGCTACTGTGTAATATTATATATAGACATACATCTGAAGAGTTACGTAGCATATATATAATAATACTTTTATTCAATGACCACTCTAGTACTTCAGATAGGTTCAACTCCTATTTACAGTAATGCCCTTGGGAAGACTCTTCGACGTCCTCAGTCTTCCACCTGCATCATAGTGGCCGAAACCACACCATGTAGGAAGACTCCCATAGTTCATCGTCGTTCCGCGAACTATCAGCCTTCTCTTTGGGACCATCACCATCTTCTCTCGACCGAGAATAAATATGCGGTATGAAAATATCACGTATACAGTAGAAATCTATTATAATGTCGTATTGTTGAATATTTTGTTGACAATATTATTTTTTTAATGTTCATACAGAAAGATAAAAGTGTACCAGCAGAGAGAGATTTGTTGAAGGAAAAAGTGAGAAAGATGCTTAATGATAAGAAGAAGACTTATGTTGACCTATTGGAGTTCATTGATGATCTACAGAAACTCGGGATTTCTTATCATTTTGAAGCGGAAATCGATATCATTTTAACATCTTCTTACCAAAAAGAGAGAACAAACGTCCGGGAGAGTGACCTACATGCCACCGCACTCGAATTCCGACTTTTCAGACAACATGGTTTGAATGTTTCAGAAGGTTATTATCGTGACCCTCATTCAAAAAAGGATCATTGCTTATATATGTTAAATTTTGGGATTTGTGCAAAAAAACTCTCCAAGCCGCCAATTTTTGCAGATTTACCTTCCACCTCCATAAATGCAGAATAATCCTATGAAGTCAAAAATAATACGCAATATAGCCCTTATACATATATTGTAAATGTTTTCACGATCGTATACATTTGATTTTTATAATTCTAAAGGTATAGTTGAACTCCTCATCTCGAAGGCTTCGATTTGATATATTATTAATCAAAATTTTAAAAACTTGACAATAACGGAAAATGGCTATATTGCGTATTCTTTTTGACTTCGTAGGATTATTCTGCATTTTTTTGAGGTGGAGGGTAAAGTTGCAAAAATTGCCGACTTTGAGGGTTTTTGTGCACAAAACCCTTAAATTTTTGTTATAGAAATATTTGGTCTTATATACTAATGAATTTTTTACTACAGATTATGTATTCGATGTTTTCATGAAAAAATGTGGGAGGTTTGGCAGTGATGATATATATGGTTTCTTATCTCTTTACGAAGCGTCGTATCTTTCGACAAAGTCGGATACAAAACTGCAAAAATGCATCAGACCTTTTGCAACACAACAACTCAGAGAGTTTGTTGATACTCATAGTAATGAAAATTGTGGATCGTGTGACATGGTGGAGATGGTGGTCCAAGCGTTAGATATGCCCTACTATTGGCGAATGAGAAGGTTAGACACCAGACGGTACATAGATGTGTATGGAAAGAGACATAACAAGAACCTTGTCCTAATTGAATTTGCCAAGCTTGATTTTAACATCGTACAAGCTATTCATCAAGAGGAACTCAAACACGTATCCAGGTAATATTAAATTACTAAAATTCATATAGCTAATTTTTAAGATATCTTAAATCTATTTTAAACTCTTTAATAAATATGACACTATCAAGTACATAAGTCAGATATAATTAACTTATCAATATTGTTTAGTTAGTCTGAGATGAAAATTCATGAACTTTACATTGTATAATATTACTTGAAACTCTTATGACACATAAATATCCATTTTTGTCAACAACATGCATTCTACCGAATATCAACATGGGTTGGTCGGGCTTTCTACCGAATTATTAACATTGGTTACAAATCATTATATATATGTAACATGTATTGGTCGCGCAAAATTATTTATTTTCGAAATCTTGATTAAAAATGATTTAACATATCATAAAGTATAGAAGATAGTTTATTATATTCCCCTTGCTTTACAAATATGTGGTGTTAAGCTGGTGGAGGGAGACAGGTTTAGGTAAGCAACTCTACTTTGCAAGAGACAGGATAGTGGAGAATTATTTTTGGACGATTGGACAAATCCAAGAGCCTCAATACGGATACGTTCGACAAATAATGACTAAAATAAATGCACTTCTTACTACTATTGATGATATCTACGATATCTATGGCACTCTTGAAGAGCTTGAACTTTTCACTTCCGCATTTGAAAAGTAAAGATCCACCACACTTTTAATTTTCTACTTCAATTTCTGCTTATTTTATAATATTAATTAAGTATCATATAAGATTACAGATTGAATTGTCAATATAAAAATATGTTGCAGTTGGGATATAAATCGTCTTGATGAACTCCCCGAGTATATGAGGTTGTGTTTTCTTGTTGTATACAATGAAGTCAATAGCATTGGATGTGATATTCTAAGAAATAAAAATATCAACGTGATCCCATTCCTCAAAAAATCTGTAAGTATATACTCTTTCCAACCAATATTTTTGTCAATCTATTGTTTTAACAATTAGTTTATTATCAAAAGTAAAATATTTTTTTATGTTAAAAATAATAAATTTGTTCTCCTGACATTTTTTATAAGTTTTTATAATACAAATCTGGTTGATAAATTTATTAAAACAAAGAAACAATTCTTACATAATTTTCATATTTTAATAATATAAACCATGATTTGCATATGTTGTATCTAAAACTAATTTTTCAATTATCTTTAATTTAGTGGACAGATGTATGCAAAGCATATTTAGTAGAAGCAAAGTGGTACAAAAGTGGGCACAAACCAAATTTGGAAGAGTACATGCAAAATGCTTGGATTTCAATCTCGGCCCCAACAATATTTGTTCACTTCTACTGCGTATTCTCTGCCCAGCTCTCTCTTAAGGTCTTGGACACTTTGTCCGAACACCAACAAAACGTCGTCCGAAGCTCTGCCTCAGTGTTCCGTCTAGCCAACGACCTTGTAACCTCATCGGTAAAACAATTTCTTCCAAGTATAATAATATTTAGAATTAATTCGTTGAAGCTAGTTGGAGGCATGCTGTTGGATGCGGACCACATTCTTGGTTACCAATTGGACTGATTGGTAAATGAAGTAATCGGAACGGGTGTTTTCAATAGGTTGTTGAAAGATGCAGATAAAAATTAGAAATGGAAGGTTAAAAGTCACCTGAATAGAAACCTTTATTGAAGACACATTTGGATTTTAAAATATTGATTCGAAAAATAAATTAATTTTAAGTTTCTAACTTTTTGTTAATCATTTTTTATTTTCTAGTATTTTATAAGTACTAGTTTATTTGTCACCGATCCTGTCCCTGCCTGTTTATTACCTAACCAAGAATTTTACAGCTTTGTTAAAACTAGGGTTTACAAATTCTACCCTCCATATTCTTAAGAATCGCATGTAAAAATATATTTATCTAAAAGTGAAATGAAATTGTATATCTCACTAAAACATGCCCTTGTTTATATATACTTATATAAAATGTGTATGTATGTAAATATAGGATGAATTGGCGAGAGGAGACGTCTGCAAATCAATCCAATGTTACATGAGTGAAACTGGAGCATCAGAGGATAAGGCGCGTTCACATGTTCGGCAGATGATCAACGACTTGTGGGATGAAATGAATTACGAGAAAATGGCACATAGCTCTTCGCTACTCCATCATGATTTTATGGAAACAGTGATAAACTTGGCACGCATGTCTCAATGCATGTATCAATATGGTGATGGCCATGGCTCTCCCGAAAAAGCCAAAATCGTTGATCGTGTCATGTCCATAATCTTCAATCCGATTCCTTTAGATTGAACTTCAGATTACATTATATTGAATATCATATGGTTTTTAGATAATCAAAGATATAAATTAAAGTTCCATGATTGAAACTATTTGGCTTAAGGCTTTTTTTTTTTTTGGTAAAAGGTTAAATTCATACCATTTTCTGATTTTTTCTGTACAAAGTTCTTACAACAAGAAAAGAAATACTAGCTAGAAAGGATAATTTACACAACCAAAATAGAAAGCAAGAGGAGAGACCAAGCTGCTGGAAGAACCAGGGACGGTGAGGAGACGGTCGCGGATGGCTCGATCCAAAGCTGCCTGAACAGAGGAACTGGTGGAGCAAACAGATGTGAAAATTCTTGCATTGCGTTCTCGCCAGATCAAATAGCAAGCAGATTGCAGGAGAAGCTTGACGGTGAAGGCGGCGCTTGGTTGAGGAGGAGTCCGAGCCTGCAAAATCCAAGAGGAGATAGAGGCCAACGAAGAGGGGGGATTATGCCAGATTCTGGAAGCAAAAGCCTGCCACACAGCTGAAGAGAAAGAGCATTCAAAGAAGAGGTGGTCGTGTGTTTCAATCCCGATAGAGCAAAGAACACAAGTCGCAGAGATATTCATTCCCCAGCTAATGAGTCTGTCTTTCGTAGGTAGCCTTCCTTTCAATGCAAGCCAAGAGATGAAAGAGAATCTTGGCACAGCATTCTTGAACCAAACAACCTTGTTCCATGGAACCAAAGTAGAACGTGATCGTAATTGCTCCCAAGTTTCCTTAGATGAGAAGAAAGATGCGAAAGATCCTGACAAACGGCGCCATAGGTAAACATCTGAGCCATTATCAATACTTGGGGGAGTTATGGTTGTTAGCATGATCAAGAGTTGCTGCTGCGAGTCTGAGCGAGCACCTGGCATCCGCCAAGCACCGTTTTGGACTGCCTCAACAACCATAGCTTCTTTCCTTATCCGCAATACCCTTGGTCCTGTAGCTCCAATTAAATCAATCAAGGGACCAAGCTCATTCCAATGGTCATACCAAAAAGAAGCAGTTTCTCCATTCCTCAATTCACAGCGCATGAAGTCTTTGACATAAGGCTTTAAGCGAATCATGCTATTAACTGTCCTTGAGAGACTCGGAGAATTTTGTAGTGACCAGAAGCTCTTCCTCCTGAGAATATTACCTTTTATCCAAGCCACCCATAAGGAGCCAGCACTTGTAAACAAATTCCAAATGAGCTTAAGCTGGAAAACAATAGCAAATTCCTCAAGGAGACGAATTCCAAGACCTCCCTCTTCTTTGGGCTTACAAACATCAATCCACGCCACTCTTGCTCCCACAGCAGAAGTTACTTTGTTTTTCCAGAGAAATGATGCACAAAGAGAGTCAACTTTTGCATAAAATCTTTTGGGGAGATTAAACACCGCACTCCAAAAATTAACCATGCCATAAATCACTGAGGAGATAAGCCTTATCTTACCAGCAAAGGATAAAAACCTTACAGTCCAAGCATGTAACTTGTTTGTGATTTTCTCAAGGAAAGGCTGCAGAGTGGCGAAAGAGATTCTTGCCGGGTTAAGTGGCAGCCCCAAGTACCGAGTGGGAAAGGAACCAACTTTAATACCCTGCAGGTCACTGAGAACAGCCACTTGAATGTCTGAATAACCTCCAAAGAAAATCTCTGACTTTGCAGGATTAACATCAAGACCACTTAGACTTTTGAAATGTCGCATAACCTCTGCAATACCTGAGAGGGAATGCCTTGTACCGTCGGAGAATATCAGTAAGTCGTCAGCGAATAAAAGATGGGTAACCTGAGGTGAATGGCAGAGAGGGTGCAGGCGGAACTTGGCCTGACTTACTGCTTGCTCCAAAAGCTTTGAAAGTACTTCCATAACCATAATGAATAGATAAGGAGAGATAGGATCACCTTGACGAAGGCCCTTCTTACCCGGAAAGAAGCCAGCAAGCTCACCATTAATGGATATGGAAAACCGCGGGGAAGAGATGCATTCTTTAACCCATGTACAGAATAGAGGAGGGAAATTCTGAGCTTCCAGAACTTTTAACACAAAATCCCAGCAGACCGTGTCAAATGCCTTCCTAATATCCACTTTAATCATGCAACTTTTTGGGCAGGCAGCCTTTTGATAGTTCTTTATTAATTCCGAGGCTAACAACACATTTTCACCGAGACTTCTCCCTTTGAGGAAAGCAGCTTGGTTAGAGCTGATGCATTCCTGAAGTAGAGGCTTTAATCTGTTGGCGATTATCTTCGAGATGATTTTATAAACGAGATTACAGCAGCTTATAGGTCTATAATCACCCAGCCTGCAAGCTTCTGGCTGCTTCGGTATAAGCGTAATGGCAGTGTTATTAAAATCTTTCAGCAGACGGCCATTCCTGAAAAATTCCTGAACAGCAACAATAACATCATGCCCAACAGTATCCCACGATGCCCGGAAAAACTCCACAGAGAACCCATCAGGACCAGGACTCTTGTTAAGTGGCATAGCAAACACAACCGCTTTCACTTCTTCTGCAGTGACAGCTTTCTGCAGCCCTTGACTTTGTATCTCATTGCATCGGAAAGAGAGCAGTCCCTGCAACTCAAGAACAGAAATAGGAGAGCATGGCATACTGGTGCAACCAATGATACCCTGAAAGTAGTCAGCAGCATACTCCTAATTTCTGAAGTTTCTACTATTTTCCTTTCATTACTGTCTTTCAAGAAATGAATATGGTTCCTAGCTGCTCTCTGAATCACAGACTTGTAGAAGAAGGAGGTATTGCTGTCCCCTAAGTGCATCCAGTTGACTCTTGATTTCTGCCAAAAAATCTTCTCCTCTGCAGAAAGAAGGAAGTGCCATTGTTCCCTGGCAATATGCTCTTCACGGACTGCAGCAGCCCCTGGATTAGATAAAATTTCTCTCTGGAGAACAGACACTTTAGCTGCTTGATCTTTGACCCTTTCTGAGATACCACTAAAGTGGCGCTTATTTAGACTTCTAAGAACTGGCTTGAGTTTACTTAGAGATCTCACAAGTTTGAATTGGCAGGTTCCTTGAATAGACTGAGCATTCCAAGCCTGCATAACAGATGCATGATACTCATGATGATCCACCACATGCTGAAAAATTTTAAAAGGTTTCCTAACAGCCCGTTGAGCTGAAGGCAGCTGGAAGAGGCAAGGAGCATGATCAGATTGTAGTGGATCAAGAAAATCAGCGTAAGAGTCAGGAAAAGAGGTAGACCAAGCTTGGTTGATGAAGGCATGATCTATCTTTTTAGAGAAAGGATTCTCCTCCTGATTGTTCCACCAAGTAAATGGCAGTCCCTTAGCTTGGGCTTCAAACAGCTCAGCATCCTGCAGAGCTAAGTTAAAAGCATCCATCCTAGTAGTGTCAACCGGTTGTGATAGATGTTCAGAATGGTGGGAGAGCCTTAAGATTTGATAGAAGTCTCCAACAACAGCCCATGGAAATCTTGCAACAGGAGTGTTAGAGTTCAGCCAAAACAAATCCTCCCAGAGAGGGAGCCTTTCTTCTGGTAAATTATGAGCATACACAAAAGAGACCGTGAGACTTAGATTCTGGGATTGAATGAAGATACCACATGTAACTAGCTGCTCCGAACTCTTGTAAATTACAAGAGAGACCGATGGATCCCAAACCAAAAAGATTCTGGAAGAGGTATGATGGTCAAAATTTCCAAAAACCTTCCAACCAGCAGGAATCGCTCTAATTATCCTTCCTGCATTTGCCGGTTGAATATGCGTCTCTAAAAACGCTCCAAAAAGTGGCTTATGGATGTTAATCCATTCTTTTGTTAAGTCCTGACGTCTTCTACTATTCAGACCTCTTATATTCCACACAAAAAACATCAAAGATGTTGGTTATCATAACTGCGTGACCTTGCGGCCACTCTTCCGGCGCGAGACCAGAATAAAAGGAGCTTCAGACTCTGAAGGGAGCTGATTCTGGGAAGCAGAAGAAGCTGAACCTTTAGAAACACTTTCCTCCCTGCCAACAACAGCAACAACTGACTTGCCCTTAGCAAAAGAAGTCTCGGCACCCAATGCAACTGATTTACCCTCAACAACAGAAGCCACTGAACCCGAAGCAGACTCAATACCCTCTGAAGCAACATAACTAGTCTCAGCCTCTGAAGTACTTGAAATATTTAACCCCACTGCAGCATCACCAACCTGAGCAGAACCAGCCGTTAAGCCCTCTGAGCCAACTGCACACTCAACCAACTCAACTGGTTCATTACCCTCAACTGAGATATTCACATCCTGAGCAACCTGAAAACCAGACCTCTCAGCACCATCTACATTCTCAACAGCCTCGGATACCTCATTATCAACAACAACCTTAGAACCTTCTTTAACCTTCCATTCTTTGATAGGAGAGCGACCTTGACGGGATCTCCTATTATTTCTAGGCCTACTACGGGACCTGTTACTTCTTTTCCTGTTCATGTTAGGTACCGGAAGCCATAGCTTGCAATGGCTACGATCATGACCATAAGCATTACATTCCATACACTTTGCCGGTAACCAAGGATAAGAGACAGTGATATCATACTCGCGACCAGAAGATAGCCCCAAGATGAGTTTTGATGGCAGGTCTTTGGTGAGATCAACGCGGACAAGGACCTTTGCAACCTCAAAGGTCTCCTTTCGCTCTGTTTCGGGTGCCAAAGCAATTGGCGAACCCACAGCAGTAGCAATCCTGCTAAGGCTCTGTTTACTAAAAAACAGATACGGAACTCCACGAAATTCAGCTGTTACCGTGGCTGAGGTGATAGGAGGCGAATCAGGCTCAAATTCTGGCGACCAAGGTGCCACAAACATGGGAAAGCCAGCAATGTTCCACACATGTCGACCAAGGAGGAGAGCCCTTGTGCGAGGATTCGAAACACGGAGCAGGTACGCTCCCGGACCAGTACGGTGCACGAAGATACGAGGACCATTTCTAGCCCAAAGCGCATTCACCACTCCAATAACTCTGCCCATCTCTGGGAAGTTGCCATGGAACTGGGCAAATATGAAATCCTTGAATTCATCCTTTGCTGCCTCAATATTCTCATCAGGGATAAGAACAAATGGAACGCCAGAGATGTGCTGCGATGGAGTTCCAATTTCTTTCAGCTGGGAAGGGTCTTCAAGAAGACTACTCCATTTTTTATCCAGAGCAGGAAGGACCTTCTCTGTAGCTGTGAGAGACGAAGTCTGACCCGGAGATTTAACTTCCTCGATCTGAGAATCCTGACCGGAGACAACAGCCTCGACAGCAGTTTGAACAGTACCCACGGAAGCGGACTGAGAGTTCTCAGAAGAGGAGAGATCAACTTGCTTAGCAAGAGGAGAGTTCAGATCTGGCGCAGCCACATCGACCGCGAGCGGATCCACCACGGAAACGATTCCCGCTAACTGGGAAGCAGGGTCCTCAACGGAGACAGCGACGCTGGAGCCGGAGGAATCACTCGAGCCGGCGGAGGGACCACCAGAACCGACTTTTTGCGGGAGGGAAACAACAGCAGAGAACCGGGCGAATTGGGAAGCACCAGGGATTCTAGACCGCGAGGTGGAGGAACCTTTCTTCTTCTTTCGTTTTGACATCGGGAAGATTTCTCGTCACCGGCGTAAGGCCGGATAACGGCGACGGAAATAGGTTTAGGTTAATCGCCTTATGTCGCCTTCAGGAGAGAGAAACTTTTAAGAGCGAAGCTACTTCTATTTCATTTTGGCTTAAGGCTTTACAAAACTAATATTATATGTTTGTCAAAAATCTACATTACAACTTTAACAAGAGTATATACAAATAGTTTCAGGTACTTAACTTCTAATGGATTTTATGAAATTGGGGACCCAAAGCCATAGTTTCCACCCTGCACCCTACCGTGTCCAGTGTCGACCATATATTATTTGAAACAAAAAATTGTTTAGGTGTCATTCCATTTTTTTCTTCTTTGAAGTGAAGGTGGTTAACATGTTTTAATTATTTTAAACATTTCCAAGGCCAACCGATTTACGAAGGTCAAGTGGTTAACATGTTTATGAGTTTATCTATGCATATAGGATGGTTATACCCTTGTTTTAAAAAACCCCGCCTAGTTCTAATTATACCCTGTTTAATCGCTAGGTTCTCACTTTCTTCCTCGATTAATGATTAATTCTTTAAAGAAATAAGTCATTCGATTACTCTTCGTCTGATCCGATTACTTTAACGCCTAATGCGATTACTCTCCGCCTAATCTTACATATACCTATTATTTTTAGATTGCAAGTATAAAACAACTTTTCTTTTTGTTATTCAAACATTTGAATTGGAAGTTTGTAATGGTTACAATAAATTATATTTAAATTTTAATAACAATCATAAACTTTTAATAAAAATCATAAAAATTGTCCCAAAAATACATTTTTATATCTTTACTGCAATTTTGAAAAAAAATATGTTTTTAAAATATTAAAATAATCCTAAAACTAGTCTCCGATTATTCTTCGATTTTGATCTGATTATCTGATTAATCGCTAGGTCCATACGAACGCCCGACTAGCGTCTAGCGATTTTTCGAACAAGGTTATCAACTATTACTTTCCGCCTAATCCGATTACTCTCCTCATAATCTTACATATTTCGATTATTTTTAGATTGCAAGTATAAAACAACTTTTCTTTTTGTTATTTAAACATTTGAATTGGAAATTTGTAATGGTTTACAATAATTTAATAGTCTCCGATTAATCTCCGATTTTATCTGATTCTCCGATTAAATCGTTAAGCCCATACCGAACACCCAACTAGCGCCTAGCGATTTTTCGAAGGTTATCAAACTATGAATCGATGATACCTATATTTATTATTAAAAAAATAAATAAAAAATAAATAAAAAAATAAATAAAACCACGATATCTATTTGTCTTTTTTCTATTTGTGGTGACGCATAACATCACGGATCATTGGCGTCATCTCCGACAACATGTGATATATATCACCATCGTTCACCATGTCAACGTACGCCATTAATTAGTAGATTCTTTTTATCTGGAGACAAATTAATGTGACCAATTATTTAGCCTAATAATAAAATTAAGAAAAGTGTTTCCCCCGGCGAAAACGACGACAACATAAAAACCTTGTATATAGATACTTACATCATCTAAGGTAAGTAGTGTAATACTTTTGTTCAATGGCCACTTTACTGCATATAGGTTCAGCTCTCATTTACAATAATGCATTTGCTAAGACTCTTCCACGTCCTCAATCTTTCACATGCACCACAATGGCCAAAATAACACCGGGTGATGAGTCTCCTGTTGTTCCTCGTCGTTCCGCAAACTATCAGCCTTCTCTTTGGGACCACCGCCATCTACTTTCGATCAAAAATAAATATGCGGTATGTAAGTAATACATGTACAATCTACAATGATTTCGTATTTATTGAGTACTATGTTGATAGCTATATTCCATATATACACTGCATTCAGAAAGATGAAAGTGTGCGAGAGAGAGACTTCTTGAAAGAAAAGGTGAGAAAGATGCTAGATGATGAGAAGAAGACTTATCTCGACAAATTGGAGCTCATTGACGATCTACAGAAACTTGGTGTTTCTTACCATTTTGAACGGGAAATCGAAAACATTTTAACATTTTTTTATCAGAAATATAGAATTGACAAGCATGAAAAAGATTTACACGCCACTGCACTAGAATTCCGACTTTTTAGACAACATGGCTTCAATGTTTCTGAAGGTTATTATCATCACACTCATCCAAAAAAGATCATTTCACTGACATGTTAAATTTTGTTGTATGAAAATTTGGTCTTAAATGTGACTAATGTTTTTTTCTTTTTCTTAAAACAGATGTGTTCGATGTTTTCATGGAAAACTGTGGGAAGTTTGAGAGTAATAATATAAATGATCTCATATCTTTCGACAAAGTCGGATACAAAACTGCAAAAACTCATCAGAACTTTTGCAACACAAAAACTAAGAGACTTTGTTGATACTCATAGTAATGAAGATTGTGGTGGATCATGTGACACTGACAATGACATGGTGGAAATGGTGGTCCAAGCGTTAGATATGCCCTACTATTGGCGAATGAGAAGACTTGCCACCAGATGGTACATAGATGTGTATAGAAAGAGACATAACAAGAAACTTGTCGTAGTTGAATTCGCCAAGATTGATTTCAACATCGTACAAGCTATTCATCAAGAAGAACTCAAATACGTTTCCAGGTAATATTAAATTACTAGAAGTAATATAACTATTTTAGATATCTTACATTCTTTCAAACTTTTGCTATACACATAATATATATTTTTTTGGGCAACACCATGCAGTGGAAACAGCAGTGGAAACTAATAAAAATTAGTAGGTTAGATCTGGACACCACATCCAATAATTAAAAAATAAAAATAATGTGATCTTTGTTTTCGTCTTGCTTTATATGTGGCGTTAAGCTGGTGGAGGGAGACAGGTTTAGGTAATCAACTTCACTTTGCAAGAGACAGAATAGTGGAGAATTATTTTTGGACTATTGGGCATATCCACGAGCCTCAATTTGGTTACGTTCGTCGAATAATGACTAAAGTAAATGCACTAATTACCACTATCGATGACATCTACGATATCTATGGCACTCTTGAAGAACTTCAACTTCTCACTGTCGCGGTTGAAAAGTAATACTTTATTTCTCTACTTCAATTTCTCGTTATTTTATAGATTACTGATTGAATTGTCTATATAAAATATGTTGCAGTTGGGATGTCAATCGCCTTGATGAACTTCCCGAGTACATGAGGTTGTGTTTTCTTGTCGTGTACAATCTATATATAATAGCAATCTAATAAATACCATTTGTAAATCTGAACGGTTGCGTCTTTTTATCGCAACCTTTCGTTTAAATCGGTTATTTTTTTACGGTTATTTTGGTTGCGTCTTTTTATCGTAATTTTCGTTTTAATCGGTTATTTTTTTACGGTTATGTCGTTTCCAATAAATACCATTTGTACATCTGAACGGTTGTGTCTTTTTATTGCAATCTTTCGTTTAAATATTTATGGTTGTTTTTCTTACAGTTATTTTTGTACGGTCATGTTGTTTTATTGAATTTCTTTTTACGTAAACCAATAAACTACATATAAAATTGGTTTATTTCATAGTTTACATATGGATATATTTTTAATTTTTAAACTAAAATTTATATTTTACGGGTATGTTTTTTAGAAAATTGCAATCCGAATATCTTCTGCGGTTGCTTCTTTTTATTGTACCCCTTCATAAACAGTTGCAACCTTTTATTCGAATTATTGCAATATTTAGTTTATTTCACGAACAATTGCAATCTTTAGTTTATATCACAAACAATTGTAACCTTTAATTTATATATTTAGTTTATTTCACGAATGATTGCAACCTTTGATTTCTATATTTTGTTTTGTATTTCACGAACAATTGTAACCTTTGGTTTATTTTACAAATTGCTATAACATCTAATTATCTACCGTCGCGTCTCTCGGTATAATTTATATAAATTAATATTTTTAATTTTTAATTACCAAAATGCATTTAAATGAGATTGTAATCGTTTAATTGAACCGTTGAAACATTTGGTTTATTTGACCAATCATTGCAATTTTTGGTTTTGTTTTACGAACCATTGTAATCTTTAGTTTATTTGACGAACTTGACGAACCGCTACAACTTTTGATATATCGCAACATTTCATTTATTTCTTTTTAAACTAAAAAAATTATTTTTGTTTTTTGAGAAAGTTGTAATCCGAGTAAATATTTTTTACGGTTGCATCTTTTTATCGTAATTTTTCATAAAATGATTGCAGCCGTTTAGTTGAACCATTGCAACATTTAGTTTATTTCACGAAAAATTGCAACTTTAAGTTTATTTTATAAATCGTTATAACATTTAATCATCTACCATCGTTATTATTAATTTTCGTTTGATATTTTTTTAAAACGATTTTTGAAATATTTTCCCCCGCGACATCGCGGGGGTCCGGAGTCCTAGTATAGTCAATAGCATTGGACGTGATGTTCTCAAAAATAAAAATATCAACGTGATCCCATTCCTTAAAAAATCTGTAAGTATATATATTTTTTTCAAAAAATGATTAACTAAAACGGCACGAATATTAAAATTGAAGGTACATAGTCTGTCAATAGAAAAGTGTTACACTACATGCTAAACTTTTCGCCTTATAATGTTAAATTTCGTGGAAATATATTTACAAATTAAATAACTTTTGATGTTAAAAATAAAAAGGGAAAAGAATATCTCTATTAAAAATTACAATTTTGAAATTATAAACCTAGTTGACAAATCTAATAAAACAGGGCAACCATTCTTACATATATAATCTTTCATGTTGTAACTAATAAAAAAATCCTTCTTCTCCAATTATCTTAAATTTAGTGGACAGATCTCTGCAAAGCATATTTAATAGAAGCAAAATGGTACAAAAGAAGTCACAAACCAAATATGGAAGAGTACATGCACAATGCTTGGATTTCAGTATCGGCCCCAACAATATTTGTTCACTTCTACTGTCTATTCTCCGACCAACTCTCTATTCAGGTCTTGGAGACTTTGACCCAACACAAGCAAAACATCGTCCGATGCTCTGCCTATGTGGTTCGTCTAGCCAACGATCTAGCAACCTCGCCGGTAAAACAATTTTTTCCATTACTCATTAATTTTACCTTTGTTTTAGAGTTATTAGTTGGAGGTAATCGAAAGCGCGGTAGAACAAATAGTCGGAATTGATTTCATTATGTAGTAGAAACATGCCATTAGGTTGCTAATTAGTAATCATACATACTTATAAAACTTTTTTGATATGAATGCCACGCCAACACTCAAATATTTTTCATGTATCCACTAAATAATTAATGTAAACTGTACATTTTAATTCTAAGGATTAATGATACATTTATTATCAATTGTGCATATGCAATTGTAGTTTGTACCAATACTAACTTTATTTTATGATTATATGTTTATTTTCTTCAATGAAATTATTTTTATTGGTTTTCTCTTGGGATTTCTTTGTTAATGTTTTGTAGTCTTAACTCAAAATATTAGTAGATAATAGATGACAAAAAAAAAAGTAGATAATAGTATAGTGTGTTAGCTAATGGTTTAAATTCAGTAAAACCTCTATAAATTAATAAATGAGAGTTTCCTAATTTTGTAATATTTTAATTTTCTATGGAAGTATAAGATTTTTTTCATTATATAAAATTTTTTTTTAGAATTAATTACAAAAAAAAATTTTATGTTTAAAAAATAATACTAAAAATTATGATGTAATAAAATATTAAAAATAAATTCAAATAAGAACTAATGAGAATTTAATATACTTTTATACTAAATTTTAACTAATTTTCGCAATGAAAACGCTTATCAACCAATCTGTGGCATGTGCCGTTCAAACAAAAACTGCCTTTTTAATCTCTCTGACTTTTTAATTGGTTGGCATGTGATATCGACCCAATTCAATACGACTACACGATTCAGTCTAGAACGTTTTAGTTAATAGTAATAAAAATATCCTTTTGTTAAAACAAAAACAAAAAAAGTATCCTTCGCTAAAACTCGGTTACAATTTAAAAAAAAAAGGTTTTCAAAAGAAAATTATCAGAAATTCTACCCTCTCTACGCTAAGAAAGTAAGAATCGTATGTAAAAACTTACTAGAAAGTGAACTGAAATCATATATATATATATATTTCACTACTTGTTTATGTAGATATATATGAATATATGTATGTTTGTATAGGATGAACTGGCGAGAGGAGACGTACAAAAATCCATCCAGTGTTACATGAATGAGACCGGAGCTTCAGAGGAAAAGGCCCGTTCGCATGTTCGGCAAATGATCAACGACTTGTGGGATGAAATGAACTACGATCGAGAAAATGAAACATAGTTCTTCGCTTCTCCATCATGATTTTATGGAAACTGTAATAAATATGGCACGTATGTCGCAATGCATGTATCAGTATGGCGATGGCCATGGCTCTCCTAAAAAAGCCAAAATTGTTGATCGTGTCATGTCCTTACTCTTCAATGCCATTCCTTTAGATTGAATTGCATATTACATTAAGTATCATATATGTTTTAGATTTTTAATAAGGGGCATATTAATTATAGTCTCACGAAATTGTATTTGGTTTGTGGAAAAAAGAAAAGCAATACAAGTAATCTAAAACCCCAAAATAAGACGATACTAATAATACGATGTGGTTTTAATAGAAAAGTATCTTTATTCGAATGCACTTCTCAAAGCTTGGAATGTTACATATTTTTCATTCGACTTGTGGGCGCCATGTATTGCTAGCAACATGACAGCATATGATACGACATGCGATAACATGAAGATCACAATTCACACATTTGAGACTTAACCTTTGCACATATAAGATACACACTGCATGCATATCCATCATTGGCCTAATCGCCTAAAGTGGGGTCAAAAGCTTCCACAAGTTATCGATCCAATATCGTAGTACCTGAGAAATCTTCCCCATTTATTTTTTGAACTGCATACTTGATATTCTTTAAATAAAATAATAAAATTGAATTTGAAACCGTGAACTTCCCTAAGAAGATTCATTATCGCCGAATGAGCTTCAAATAACCATGGTGAACTGGTTCAGAAGGGAGAGTACATTTAAACTTTTTGACGTTGATCAAGCTAAGTATGATTAATCCATCACTTTTATCTGATGAGTGTTACATCGAGTGTTTCTCTGATCTATAAGGTAAACAATCAAACCGGTCATCTAGATTCATTATGAGAAAATGTTTGGCAGCTACACGAAAGAGATATCATCACATAGTCACACATACAAACTTTAGAAATACTATCTCGTTAGCTATACAAAGTATTGTCATCACATACAGACATCCCCGAACAAACATAAGTCATGTTACCAACACCATAACCATCCTACTCCCAGTGGCGGACCCAATATTTTTTTTTTACCGGGGTCAAAATATAATTAAAAATAACTACTAAATTTTTTCAAAACAATAAATCAATAACAACGTTGTTTTTAAAAAACAAACACAAGATAAGTTTAATTGAAGGGTCAAACATACAAAAAATCTATAAAAATATGTATATAAAGGGGTCAAAACATAAAGAAGTAGAAAAAATAACAATATTTTATGGGTTAAAATACACAATTCGGAATTTAGGGGGTTAAAATAGAAAAAAAAAATAGAAATAATATTGCAAAACACAAAGGATTATATCAGAAATTTGGATTTATTTACAAATATGAAAACCAAACAAACAACCTCTTTCACTTTATCTAAGAACGAGTCTCCGAAATCTTTAGAATATCTTTGGTCCTTGTGGATCGACCCGTATATATTGTCTTGCGGTTAAGTGCATCGGGTAATTACTCGAGCAATCAATGCCAATCGTTGGATCAAATTTAATTTAGCTACGGTATGAGTTTGATCAGACTAATGAACTGAAGGTTATACTAGTGTTATTGAAGAAGTTGATGAGAAATTGAGAAATGTTTTGCAAAAGCTCGAGAACAATTGTTGAATGAGGCATATAAATTTCTCTGGAGAAGGCAGCATCGATCAGTCCACCTATTGGATTGATCGTTACACCTATTGGCTTTATCATTCCAACTATTGGATATATCATCTCTCATATGAGAAATTAAGCACCTCTTTGCAAGAGCTCGAGATCAATCAATCCCTGATTGATTATTTTTCCTAAGGGATCGATTGATATTTTGATATGATCAAATTTTACTCAGTTATACGGTATAACTTATACCAACCCGCAAGTACATGATTGTTGTGTTAATAAATATTCGTATATCTCAAATCAGATTTATATATCAACAACATAAAATGAGATGAACAAAAAAATAACGATTTTACTCCTTTAATTCAACTATTATAAAAGTGACTTTTATATAACATGTTATTATTTTATGTGACTTTCTAATTTATCAAATGAAAGTCACAAGTGGGGTCACTTTTGTCACATAATTGTCCGGAAATAGATGATTTTTCTCTCTATAATATTTATTTATGTGAACATCTAATTTAACAAATAGATTTATATTTTCGTTATATGAATTATAATACGAGTTACATATTAATATATTATTAATTAGTACATCTCTTCACAAAAATGCCACATAATATTTATGCTTTTAAGTACATGAAATATAATATACCATCACATTTCATTTAAAAGGTAAATACAAATTAAACAAAATTAATCAAGAATAAAATACCACATTATCCGTATTCCCTTAATTTAAATCTGCTTTTTTGACATATGTAAAAATGTTTTAGTAACAACAACTAGGACCGGGCATGGAGTGAGTACTCTCAAAATTTGGAATACCTGTTACACGATCCGACTCTTACAGATACTAAAATAAACTACTCATACTTCATCTGCAAAAAAAATGGATACCTGAAAAGCATGTATTCGGTAAAATGAGCGGACTCGTTGAATACCCCACCCGTTATCCTTATCCGCAAAATCATAATTAATTAATATCTAAACATTTAACTTTAGAGAATTTCATATACCAAAAACAAACAACAAAAAATCATTTAGAAAAATACATTTGCTTGAGCTTAAATTTAGGTTACATTAATCTCGAAAAGCAAAATTATTACATTATATTAATTTTGGATTGTTGATGCAAATATATTATTGTAAATATATGAATTTGTCTCTGGCGAAGCCTAAATAATGGTTGAAAACAGGTATGGATTTGCTATTACAAAAAAAACATTGCATGTTTTGTTTATGCGTGTGGGGAAGGAGAGAAAAAATTGATATTTAATAAATGTTCATCAGTTGAATTGACTTTCACGCGGCAACAGACATAACGAAGTGACAATTATTAAATGCGACCGACTTTAATTTGAATTTATAACGGAAACATATAGACGAAAATTAAAAAATTTAAACCACTAACCTAATTGCATAGATATTTATTAATAAATTTAGCACTATATAGTTCGATATATAACTTTATGAAAGTGTATGAACATGTAACTAAATATTATCATTGTATTAGGCTTTATATCATAATATCGAAAATTTTATTAGCCCAAAATCTGATGTCTTTCGCCCAATTATCTCTACTATTTTTTTTTTTTTTTGGGTCAAATTATCTCTACTATTTAAGTATCAGACATTAAGAACAATATGACAAATAGTCCAAAAACGTGCCAGAAAAGCAGGTAAGTGGTCATAGTTGATTGCAATAACAAACTATGATCTCAGCCGTTAATAGCCAGTTAGCGAATCCTACGGCTATGAATCCGTGGACTCCTAAAGCTCATGAGGCCTAATCGCATGCACAGTTTTTCTTCACCGGAAGAATTGCGACTTAAAAAAAGAAAAGAGCTTTAAAAAAAAAATGACAACTTTCAAAGACGATAATCCCCACTCAAATTTATCAGTCAGTGAGTACTCTTAACTCTCAAAATTTAGGGTTTTATTATTACTCTGTTTTTTTCTCTCTCAATTTTGGTTGTTACGTGATGAATTTGATTCTAATCGTCGAAAAATTCACTAAATTTGAATACTTTTGTTCTTTGTAAACAATCATGTGGTTTTTCTTGTTGAACAATTCTGTTTTCTCTACTTAGGGCTGAGTTAAGAACAGAACAATCTGATAAAAGCTGAGATTTTTAAAGATTTTGTGGATAACTTGAGACGATTTTGGGTTAGATTGATTCCAAATTCCAAAAAGTTTTGATTTTTACTGTTAGAGTCAGATAGTGTTCGGATTCTAGAGGCCTTCATCGATTGGTTTTTCATGGGTTTCTTTGAATCTCTGGTACATAGTGAATAGTGATTCAGAGATTCTCAGTCAGGTTTTGCAGAATTCTGATCAAATTCGTTTCATGTTTTCAGGACTACTAATGGATGAAACAACAGAACGCCCATCTGTTTCATTTTCATATTCAAATTGGATGTCAAATGTCAAGAAATCGACTCGAGAAGCTTACGAAGCAAAGCCCTTTTCACATTGGATTCTCTTGCTCTTCAGTGGCTCGGCAATGCTCATAGCATTCCCGGCTTCTAGTCTACTGTCTCGTCTTTATTTCTCCAATGGTGGTAAAAGTAAATGGATCATTTCTTGGGTTGCTGTGGCTGGATGGCCAATCACTTGTCTCATTTTACTTCCTACATATATCTTTCAAAAGATTAAACCAACACCTCTCAATGCGAAGCTTCTTCTCTCTTATGTCGTGCTCGGTTTCTTGAGTGCTGCAGATAACCTTATGTATGCTTATGCCTATGCGTATCTCCCTGCATCGACTTCTTCTCTTCTGGCATCTTCGTCGCTTGCCTTCTCTGCTTTGTTTGGCTATCTCATTGTTAAAAACCCGCTGAACGCTTCAGTTATCAACTCCATTGTGATAATAACTGGTGCCATGGCTATAATAGCGCTGGATTCAAGCTCTGATCGGTATAGTTATATAAGCAACAGCCAATATTTTGCAGGTTTCTTTTGGGACATAATGGGATCTGCGCTTCACGGGCTCATTTTCGCGTTATCCGAGCTTCTCTTTGTGAAACTACTTGGAAGAAGGTCCTTTCACGTTGCTTTGGAGCAGCAAGTCATGGTTTCCCTCATAGCTTTCGCGTTTACTACTCTTGGGATGGTTGTGAGCAACGATTTCCAAGGGATGAGTAACGAAGCTAAGAGTTTCAAAGGCGGCGAGTCTCTGTACACCCAGGTTCTTGTCTGGAGCGCAGTCACGTTTCAACTGGGTGTTCTTGGGGCGACCGCGGTCTTGTTTCTGGCATCCACAGTCATGGCTGGAGTCCTTAACGCCGTGAGAGTTCCCATCACGAGCATAGCCGCTGTCATATTGATGCATGATCCAATGAGTGGCTTCAAAATCCTGTCTTTGGTCCTTACGTTCTGGGGATTCAGCTCTTATATCTACGGCAGCTCGAGCTCGAACTCAAGTACTCAAGCTTCCTCTTCATCCTAATATGCAACCTTTTCCACTGTCTCCATTCCTTGAATGTGATCAAATACCATTCGTGTAATATAAGATTATGCTCCGGGTCAAGTTGTAGCTGCAGTGTCTTATTCTCTTTGTGTATAACACGTTTTTTTATGAAGCAAGAACATTTGAGATAGAGGTAAACGCAAACAAGCTTATATATACAATCGGTAAACTTGGTGCAACCATGGAAAAGAGCAAAACATTGAAAAAGGCAAAGAAATAAAACTTTCAAGGGAAAAAGAACATTTTTGCAGAGATTCAGAAAGTGAAGTTTCATTGGTTAGGCTTCGGTTCAATATCTTTAAGAAGACCAACTACTTGCTGCATACTCGGCCGCTTAGAAGGAAGATCCGCGGTGCAGAGGTATCCGATCTTGAGAGCTTCTTCCATCTGATCTTCTGAGCCTGTATCTTGGATTTTTGGATCAATAGCTTTTGATCCTTGATTCTTCCTAACCAAACTTCTTACCCAACTCACCAAGTTGGTGTCTTTCTCATCAAGATAAGCATCTTCAATTGGCTTTTTCCCTGTCATGAGTTCAAACAGAACAACTCCAAAGCAATAGACATCGGATTTCGGTGTAGGCAGCTCGTGTTCGGGTTGCAAGAACTCAGGAGGGAGATAACCGGGTGAGCCATGAGTAATCTCATCGTCCAAGCCGTTTCCAAAGACTTTGGCTAAACCGAAATCAGATAATCTTGGTTCCCAGTTCTGGTCAAGATAAACACTACTAGCTTTCACATCTCTATGGATCATCGGCGGTGAACAACCGTGGTGAAGGAATGCCAATGCACGGGCAGTTCCAAGTGCTATCATGTGCCTAAACCGCCATGTCGCCACCGGGCCTTCAATCCCTATGTTTTGGATTCCATTGTCAGTTTCTTCTTCCCATGTATCTGTGGTCCAATCATCTGTTGTCTGAACTCCAAATGGCAGATCATGAAGCAGGTTTTGCAAGTTACCGTTTTCCATGTACTCGTAAATGGCGATCCTTTGATCACCGGCTATGCAATATCCAGTTAATGGAACAAGATTTGGGTGCTTGATCCTTCCAAGAAACTCGAGCTCTCTAGCTGCTTCTTGGTCACTAAGAGTTGAGCCGTGGACCAAAACTTTTACAGCTACATGAATCCCACCGGGCAGGAAACCTCTGTAAACAGGACCAAATTTACCGTCTGCTAAGAGAGTGTCTCTGTCGAAGTGGGAAGTCGCAGACAAGAGATCCGAAAACGTTATGTTCAACAATGGCTTCTCAAAGATAACCACAGGAACTGCATTTGCTTGCTTCACATCAGCCACCCATGTAGTAGAATCCGTTTGGAAAGAGAATGGACCTGAAATGCTTTGTTCCTCCTTTAATGAGACATTATTGGCTTCACCGGATTTGGGTCTCCTTCTGCAGCCAAATGCTACAATAATCAATGCTCCTATGAGTAAACACATCGTAGAAAGCGTCACTGCCAAAGCCAGCTTGAGTCCTCCAGTGACCGATCTTCTTCTCTTGAAAAGCGCCGGGTTTGCAGCGATAGGGCAGCTGTTTGTAGAGCCAAAGAAGGATCTGATCAGTGTTTCGGTTGAAAACTTTCCGGAACAAAATGTTAAGTTGTTGAAAGAGAAGTTGAATCTCTCCATCCACGGGAGCTTCTCAAGGATAGACATCGGTATCTCTCCCGACAAATTGTTCCTCGAAACATCAATAGCTACGAGGTTCTTGATACTCAAAATTGGGATATGTCCTGAAAGATGGTTACCAGAAACATCAAGTGTACTCAAATCACTCAGCTCTGAGATCTCTCTAGGTATGTGACCATAAAGATTTGTGTTTGACAAGTTAAGATACTCTAAACCAGAAAGCATCTCAATCCTCGGAAACATTCCTCTGTTGAACCTATTCCAAGCTAGATTTAAGTGCTTAAGCTTCTTTAATAGTGTCAGATTCTTGAAGATATCTCCACTAATCTCATTCTCAGACAAGTCAAGATAAATCAAACTAAACCAGTTGGAGTCTACCTGAGAGGAGATATGACCTTGAAACCGGTTTTTGCTGAGATCAGCCACTTCTAGAGTCTCCTTGAATACACCTGTCACTGAACCTTCAAACTGATTCCCTGAAATGTTGAGAGAACTGATGGATTTCATATCAGCAAAATCAGTGTCCCTGCCATGAATCTTGTTTCCTGCAAGGCTCAAAGTTTTAAGCTTTGGAAATGCAGAGCCAAACCCATCAGGAAGAAACCCTTCAAGCTGGTTAGAGGATAGATCAATAGAACCCAAAGATTGGCAACCAAGAAGTCCTCGTGGAATCGACATCTGAAACCCATTGGTATCAAGCTTCAAGACTCTCAAGCTAACAAGAGAATCTACAGCTTCAGGGATTGCACCAGAGAAATTGTTGTGAGAGATGTCAAGTGACTCAAGCTGCCCAAAATTGCCAACATTGCTAGGGAAAGACCCAGAGATCTTGTTGAAAGAGAGGTTAAGATTCTTCAAAGTGTTCAAACTCCAGAAATCAGATGGTAAAGCAGAGATTTTGTTGTTGCTAAGATCCAAAGATTGAAGCTTGCTGAGTTTACCAATGGTGTTATCAGGGATTTGACCAGATAAACCCATTCCAGAAGCAATTAACACAATCACATGCTCATTCTTGGAATCACAGAACAAACCTTGCCATGAACAAAAAGGAGCAGAGAAGTTATAAGCTTGAGCAGAACTTAAACTCATTTCTTTGAAGAATTCAGAAACAAAGAAACCATCTGTGTTTGGTTCTTGGCAATGAAATTGGTTCAAGAACAGAGAAAGAATCAATGCATAACCCCAAAAACCAAGACCCATTGAAGAGAGCTAAACAACAAAATCTGCCTCCAGAAAAAGAAAATCTCACTGAAGTTACTTTTGGGTACTCATGCAAGAAACAGTTGAAGACAATATTAAGGAGAGATCTGAAGGATAGGAAAAGTGTTTGTTTAACTTTGTGGTGCTTCTCAAGAACACGAGAGACCAAAGGACATAAAAACAAGACAAAGGAGGATTTTTGTCATGTATTAATATATAATGTTAAGCTTCCCCTACCTCTGATTATGACAACACTATCTTTTTTTAATTGGGGAATTCTGAAATACCAGAGAAAGAGAGAGAAGAGGAAATGTAGACAGTTGGGAGCAGAAAGAAGTTGGAGCTTTTTCATAAATGAGAGAATTCATTCTCTCAGAGTTTTCAGAAACAGTATCATTGGTTTCTTTTTCTAGTTGAACTAAATCTTTTATGATAAGGTTTACTTTCGGAAATTAAAAACTTTCTACTTTTTTATAACATGTAGTAATTGATATGAAAGTTTTATACACAAAAGAAAAGAAAAAATAATTCTTCTATTGTAAAAGTTTTTTTTTTTTTTGGTTAATAATTGTTGAGCTCTTTATTCTTCTTTTTAATTCTCAAAAGATTGCATCTTGTACTTTATTGAGAAATCTATCTCCATTGATGGTTTAACATGTCATGCCATTAAAGGTGTGTGTGCAATGTATGAACTTTACTTTTTGTAGATTGTCGGTAGTTTTTTTTTCTACATTTTTGTTAGCAAACAGTGGTTTTTCTACGTGTAGGATCAATGTTATAGTCTTATAGACTACCTATGGAATTTAATGCGACATAATTTGTTTATAAAAATATTCAAAAAGTTTTACCAATATCAAAAAATTTTAAGAAAATATTGAACAGTGACATTAGACTTGTTGGACTATTTGCTAGTGGAAAATCCATCTTTTAGTTTTCATTTACAATAAGAAATTACTCAATTAGTATGTTTCAAGAATACATATTGAATGAGATAAATAAATTATAACTACCCAAGTTTTTTCTCGGAATGATTATATTTATAGAGATAAATGGTATATCACTTGTTTACGTTTTGAAAAATTTATCGGTTTATCCAGTTCAGTTTGTTCCACTAACAAATTCACTTATTCCATTATTCCGCTATTTATATGACATACTAGTCAGATTCTATAAACACATTTTGGTCGTTAGAATTCATCGGTGTACCATCCTTGAAACATATGCTGCAGTTACACACTCATGTAGATGATCTTTTTTCTTTCATGTTCGTATATATAAGGGAAAATCCCAGAAAAAAACCTCCGAGTTGAAACATTTTCCTAACTAAAACCTCCAACTTTTTTCGTTCCCATATAAAACCTCCAAATTGAAAATTTTTCCCAATTAAAACCTTCAACTTTTTTCGTTCCTAATTAAAACCTCCGACTAATTAATTTTCTCTAAAAAAACTTTCAAGTCGTCAAACTTAAGCCCGATCAATGGTTGACCAATGATCGCTGGTAATTTCGTTTGGAATAGTTAATAGTCTTTGACGACATCTATTTTTCATTTATTTAGTTTCCAAAATTTTATATGAACCCTAAAATTAGAAAAATATATTATAGAGTTCGTAATTAAGATTTTCATCTTTTCTATTGTAACTAACACATGTGAATTTTGAAAACTAAATAAACGAAAAACATGTCGTTAAAAGCCGTTTACCGTTAGTTAATCATTGATCAGGCATAAATTTAATGACTTAAAAGTTTTTTTAGAAAAAATTAATTAGTTGGAGGTTTTATTTAGGAACGAAAAAAGTTGGAGGTTTTAATTAGGAAAAAAATTCAATTTGGAAGTTTTATATGGGAACGAAAAAAGTTTGAGGTTTTAGTTAGGAAAATGTTTTAAATTGGAGGTTTTTTTTGGGATTTTCCCTATATATAAATATAAATTAATCGCTTGTAAAATTGAAGTTTGAGATTTTACCAAAAAAAAACAAGCAAAAAAAATTGTCCAAACTTTGTTTAATATGTATCAAATAAGGTGTGGACAGACCTTAATTAACAATTAAACATCATCATTGATGATCCATATATATACAACGTTTTTCCACAAATCAAGTATTTGATTACGGTATAAGTTACATCCACATTGTAGTTATGAGGCTTAATTTTAAGAGACAATGTTAGGAAAAGTTACAAATTTTGTAAAACAAATTAAAATCTAACGTAAAAGCAAAACAAAAAT